TATCAGGGTGGGAGCCTTATGGATTTCTGGGAGGATGTCAAGGGGAGGCACACCTCTTGGATCCCACAGGATGACACTGCTTAATTGACAGGGCCTGAAGTGTGCCCACTCATTGGATGAGCAGAAACACCTGGAGACAGACGGTCCTTCAAATAACCAGGCCCTATGCAATGAAAGGCTTTATCAGCACCTTGAATTACACTTGGAAACCAATCAGTAAGCAGCGCAGAACAGTAGGGTCACATGGGCATAATAAGACCTGCCTACCACTGTGTTCTGAACCAGCCTAGCTTCATCTTCAAGGGCAGCTCCATGTAGAGCACATTGCAGTAATCCGTTTTCTCTTCTTCTTTCATGACTGCAAACTTCTTAAAATACCATTTCCCAATTGCCATTTTGTTTTTTCTGTAGTGCATCCGACTCATATAACCTGGAGTGCATCATGAGAGATCTGCCAACTTATTTTTAGATTTTGAAGCCTAGACTTTTCTGGAAGAGCAAGTGGAAGGTGGACAAAAAGATGTGTGTGTATGCATGGGAATGGAACTTCCATGAGAGGTCTCTAGCATTGTACAAGGATTTCATACTCTGATTATACCTTTAGAGCTAGCTGAAGCTACTGCCCTCCCTTTCCCTCACTCCAGGTCAAGAAATACATTAAATCTCATCAAATCCCATTGAGTCAGGAGAAATAAGGTGATTGCTCACTGTACAGATTTCCTGAAGAGCAAACAAAGGGTATTTTAGCAGGTGGCTTCATTATGATTTATTTGAAGCTATGCATTAAAGCTAATTATATTTGCAATTTGAAAAAAAGGGGGGGAGCCATCCAACAATCCTTACCTTTCCTTTCCTTTCCTTTCCTTTCCTTTCCTTTCCTTTCCTTTCCTTTCCTTTCCTTTCCTTTCCTTTCCTTTCCTTTCCCCATGAAAACCAGTGTAAAAAGTTATTAATCCCTCCAGCTCAGATCAGTATAATATACATTTCTGGCCCAAGTATATCATCAATTTTGCACTTCTTTTTTGTAATGGTGCAGTTAATATGCAGTAGGCTTCTAAATGGTTTGACAGTTTCCAATGCCACGTCTCTGAAGCTTGAAGTAGAAAAACATAGACACACCCAAATCCATAATGTGATTTGTTTGGTCCTGGCTTAGCATTCTGTGGGAACCCATTTTTACTGTTTACTCAATAATCATGGCTTAACAATGGATAGTGCTATGCAATGAGCAAATCTAACTACTCCATCATTTTGAATGGTCATGCTGAGACTAATTTTTGTATACAACCATCTACATTATTGGATGCATAAAGTGAACTGAGAACATGGATTGTGATGCATTTTCTCTTTCCTACTAGAGCTGATGTTTGTTATTTTTTCAAGATTTCCAGCAGCTACACTAAGGCTGCAGTCTTATCATTCAGTCTTTTAGCCAATAGCAACTCCCCACTGGATTTCTGGTGATGATTGTAAATGCAATGAAATACAAGTCATTTCTCAGTAATGAGGAAGGCTGGCCTGAAAGAGCCATCTTGCAATTTTCTAGCCAGAAAAAAAATGGGAGGAGGACTTTGGCAATTTTTCAGGGAGAGGATAAATTCAGTGGTAAGACTTTAATTGGTTCTAAATGGGCCTGAAAAAAATAATTGTTCTTTTAATTGCTGGTGCTATAAAACTGTTATTGCTCTGTATTTTATCTACACTGGCCTAAATGCAGATCTTCTTAATGCTACTATTTGTCTTAACTGTAATGTTTTCTGTATCTGTTTTGTGCTTAAACTGCTTGATGATAATCATTTAGGATGGTGTTTGAAAGTATATTTATATTAATGTGATTATATCAAAAGTTGCTCGCTTGTGGCCTTTTCCCATTTGCATTTAATCACAGTATGAATATCCCCTGATAACATCTTTGCTGTGCCATATCTTGACATCACCTTTATCTTGTCTCATCTTTAGATCCTCTGGCACTAAAGTAACATTTTCTCCTTAAGATGATACTAACCAGCATCAGTTTCAAGGGGTATCCAATCTGGCACACTTCACTGCTCATTGCTGTCAGTCACATGAAGGTAGGAGGTCATGCCTTTTCACTCCCCAAATCATCAAAGCCATTTCCAAAACAACCTGCAATTGTCTTACCACCAGATCTTCAAAATACCAAAGGCCTCCAAATGCTAACTAACATCTGATCAACAAGAGAGTACAATTGGCCAGCCCTGCATTCCCCCAATGCCTGAACTTACTTGGGATCCTATTGTTTTCCCCAATGAGCTTTTAATGGACATTAACTCATTGTTGTGATGGGGGAGCTGAAAACTGCATCTATTCCTTTAAAAAAGCAGGGCAAGAGTACTGTGACGCTGTGGTGCCTCATTAGCTGTGAAGAGGAAGGCGATCCCAGGATTTGGGGATGAGAGGCACGATCCTGGCCAGGCACAAACTGGCTGTATGGAAGGGCCCAGGGAAGGAGGAAAATAAAGCTATGGATTTGAGGATTGGTTCAGATGATTTTATGGGAATCCCTTCTAACCTTCCTATCCTTAAATCTAAGGGAAGAGAGCCAGCTGGATGCTGACATTTGTGCTGCCTGATAGGTCATTTGGAGGGGGGATCTTGCAGAGGGTCTCAACATTTTAAGGATGCTGGCGGTGAGGCCATGGGGCACCATGTGCTTCAAGAGAAATTAGGAGAGTCCCTTGAAGGTACCTATGTTGGGCAAAGATGACACTCTTTTCTTCCCACTCCATACTAGCTAAAAGAACAAGCAACTGAGTTCTGAGCATGTGAACAAGAAATCAGTCTGGGCTGGCATTCCATCTTGAAATGAGACTGACGTCCGCACCGATTCAGTGCTAATGCTGAGCCCCACATTTCAAAACAAACAGTGTTCCTAGTTGCTGCTGAACCTGAATGAAACCTCTCTCTGCTTTTGTAAACTCAGGTACATCTCTCACCAGAACTTGCTTTAAACAGCAGCCACCAATGATAATGTTTGCTTTGGCATATAAGCATCAAACCGAAGCAGCATGTGGGCTGCAAAGTTAAAAATAGGAGTTATGGAAATAGATTCTAGAAATAGAAAACTGGATTGCTTGCATGTGATTTTTTTCTCTTCCATCAGACACCCCCCGCCCCCCCCCCCCCCCCCCCGGGATCTGGGGAAAAGATGCATCCTTGCTTCTTTGTATTGGGAAGGAACAAGGAGGTTGGTGTTGTTTGCTCAAGACTGACACCCCATAACGAACGAGGTCTTTTGCTCCTTAGGCCCCTTCCCAATGCTGTTGGAATAAAGAGAGGGCCAGCTGTGCCTGCACAGAGCGGCCACTTTCCGTGACTTGGTGCCTGTCAGGCCCGCTTGATGGTTGCGTTGCTTAATTAGGAGCTGCGAAGCTGCAGGAGCTGCAGGCAAGCGATAAAGGTGGATCTTTTGTGTAAGAGTGTATAAAAATAAAAAAGCAATTTCATCAGGCATAGCTGGGAAGAAACAGCCTTTGCAATTTCATGCTGGGAAAGAATGGAAGCAGAGGAGAGGGGGAAGGTCTGGAGACACAGTGACGAAGGCTGCCTTAGCCATGGAGAGAAATGGAGCAGAGCCGAGACAGCAAACTATGTACCCAGAGAACTCTGCCAAGAGAAGAAATATTTCTCACCCAAATAAATTACACTGTCACAAAAATAAAAAATTTAGAGAAGTTCCCTTCCCCTCCCATTTTCTTTAGATACTGCTTTCAAACGTGGGTTTACAGACTGCTTTGCAAGGGAAACGTTAAAAGAAAACTCAGTCCATGATGTGCTTTTTTTTTTCCCAAGCAGGAAACAGGGACACAGGCCGACAGCAGAGCAGATGTGTCATGGGGGGGGGAGGGGGGGAAGGAATCCAAAACTCAGCAGCACCCTCTGTCACCTCTCAACAATAAATAAGCTGAAAAAGACAATGAAAGGAGATTCTTAAAAAACTCTTAAACAGCTGGAGGATGATTTAGGAAATTGGTAATGCAGATTGCAGCCCTGTACTACTGAAGGTTTCCTAGTCTCTATAGCTTTTCAAGGATATTAGATAAGATCACACAGGGAGGCCTATTGAAAGTCATTCACCTTCACATCATTGCATTGCATTGCAGTGAGTGGCAGGAGGACAGCAGAGGCAATTTCCATCATGGCCTCCTGTGAGGGCAGGTACTAGGGACTGCATGATACAATGAAGACTTGGAGACTTGGATTTGTGGGAGAGGCATCACTATTTGGGTGTCAGTTTGAGGAGTGAAATGTTTTGGGTCAGCAGTGCTTCTGGAGTTCAGGGATGGGCAGCATGGGGCCTTGGAGATTCTTTCTAGTGGCCCTCAGAGCCTCTTTGGGACATGAATGCTGAACTGAAAGCATCGGTTTCTGCCATTTTCAGGTGTGGAAAGATGAAAACTATAATGTAAGCCTTAAACCAGACATATTATATTTAAAATACAAAGATCTCCCTCAGTCTCCCCAGCGTGTGTAATGTGGTCTCATCCAATTTGTAGCCCCCTTCCCTGAAAATTAAGCTTGTCCCTCCTGCCCCAGCTTGTATAGTTCAGTATTGCAAAAGTTCCTCCCCTTCTCTGCCTCTGTGCTTGAAGCAAGAGTTAGCCTGGCCCATTTAGTAGTGTGATTTTGTATTTGCTTTAAGCTTGTTTGATTGACCTTGTCAGATAACTAACTGCACTTGGGTATACACTAGCTGATCCCTTGGGACTGAAAGGATGTTGAATTTAGTGAAGTGGCACTTGAGCTGAAATGGCAGCAGCCATAACTGAGAGGTGATGCACAGCAGCCCATTCAAGAAATGTCTTTCTTTAAGCCCTTCGGAAATGTCATAAGACAGGCTCTTCAGAGTTTTAATTCTTTCCATGAGCTCATCCAACAGGCTGCTAACTTAGGAAGATTGGCCAAAGATTTCCAGCCCCACTCCGCACATGTATGGACTTTTTTAAAATGAAAAACCCCAGAGTTATCTTAGTAGACACTTGAAGGGCATTTGAGTCATGAGTAGGTATCTAAAAAGGATGAATAGAGATTAAGCAGAGGGAAGTAAGCAGGTAAGCTCTCTTTCTCCTTAGAATTTAGTAACTGTATCCAATAAAATGAGGTATAGCTTTTGTTTTTTGGTTGAGGTCATCAATATTCGCTTTTAAAGAGATAAGCAAGGTATTATTTGCTATCAGTATTGAATCATCCCATCTTATTTATGAATGGGTGCTTGAAAAATAGCAGCAAGTATGGGGGCTTGTGAAATGTTTTTTTGGGGGGGCGGGAAGGGTTGAAGCTGGAATGCCATTCTCAGCAGATAATAATAGGAAAATTGTTATGTGAAGGGGAAAAAAACCATGTAGATTAGTTGCAAAAGAAATGTAAAAGTATGCAACCCAGATGGAACCCTAACCTTAAATATATTTAAACCTAAACCTAAATCTACCTGTTTCCATAGCTTGGGTAATTTTTCCTTTTCTTCTCCAATCAAGAACATGTTTGTTTCATTCATCAGCAAGAGTGCTTCAGAATACCTTGGAGGCCTGCAGTATGAAAGACAGAACCCGGAAGAAAGAGGGATAAGGAGGGAAGAGAATGACAGCAAGTTAAAGCAGCAGAACGTAAAATACAGACATGATTTGCTGGCTCAGGGAGAACAGAGGCCCTTTGGAGATGGCCTTTCTTCTTTCCCTCTCCTCATGTTCTGCTACAGCCTGTTGGAATGGCTGTGGCCTGAAAGCAGATAAGGACAGAGGAAATGCATAAAACATGATTCACCTTTATTTTCTAAGAGATAACAGGTTTGTTGCCATTTTACTGAATCATGGTAATATGCTTGACTTCTTGGGAGAGAATTTTGGTTTCCTGAAGTTCTTTTCCTTGAGGTGGGGTGGTGGTGGTGGTGGTGGTGTGGAACAGAAGAAATTGAAAAACCTCATAACAGCACATAGTGGCTTTCCTTTGGATTGTTAATGGGTTTTCCAGCAGGTTGGCTGTTTAGACATTCATGCAGGCTTTCATAACTGGCATTACTGTCAGCAAGCATGGACTAATTGGTGGAGGCTAATGGAACAAAAGCATAGTCAGTGTGTGTCTGTATCAGTGTGGTGCTGAAATGATCAGGTGAGCCTTAGTGTGGCTGAAGAGAGACACTATTGCTTGCTGAAATCCTCAAGGTACATCTGCAACATAGGTGTGCAACTCATGGTGGCCCTCTGCTTGTTCACCTATTGTGACCTGCAGAGTACACCTAGAAGTCCCAGAGCATACCTTGAGTGAGCAGGGCCAACATTTTCAACCTCTTTTTAGCAGGGTTAAGGTAAAATGTGTTTCTTAACTTCTTCTTAAGATGCCCATGTTGCCCCTGAACCTCCATTCACAAAAACCAAAAAATGCTTGGAAGATTTGGCCTCCCCTACTCTGTTGATGTTAATGACCACAACCCTATGGCTCTCAAAGACCAATTTTAGGAAGCCAAAAGAAAGTTGCTCACCCATGAGCTGCAATAATGAGTTGAAAATTTGATGGGTACTGTTAAGTGATCCTGGGACTAGGGTTTGTTTATGGTTTTTCTTTTTCAAAATTAGTGAGTCACTTTTAGACAGATCAAGTATTTAGGACTTGCAGTACAATCTGATGCTGCTTGCTTGAATGTCAATCCTGATGGGTTTTACTTCTGGATAAGTATGGATGTGAATCAAATAACTGTATTTAGAATAGGAGGAACCACAGTACCTCACACATTTTTCACAGACTGTCAGGGATAGTAGGAAATGCTTGACTAGCACATTGTCATAGTGGGAGTTGCTGAGATACCTCTTGCATAGCAACTCGCTATACTATTCATCAAAGCAGATAGGTCTTCCTTCAGGGTTCTGCAGGAGATGACTGAAAAAGATACTACTTCTTTAATGAATAAAATCATTAAAGCCGTCTATATTTAATGTGGTTCTTAAAGCAGCCTATATGGAAGCCATGCATGCTTTAGTGAACAGCAGTTCATGAGATCCAAAGCACTTCTTCCAAATCATTTACAAAGTATGCACAGCCCTACTGGTTAGGACTTGGATGAGAAATCATTAGGAAATCCCAGGGCTATAGGCTAGACTAAGAAATAATAATCATTCAAAAACTCCTGAGAAAAAAAGCAATGGCAAATGACTTCCATATTGTTGCCACGAAACTGGGGGCATTTATGGGGTGTGCATGTGTGTATATGTCAAGCAAAGTCAAGATGGCAATCACAAGCAATGGGCATAAAAAGAGGTGAAGCCTTCAATTGCATGGACCATTTTGACTTTTTTGATGCCTCTGCAAGAAAACTACGTGGATAGATCCATGAGGTCATTGGGAGAAAAACTAAACTCAGATAAGACAACCATTTTAAAACACCTCTGGAATGTTAACTAGAGGAACTTCAAGGAAATACTTAACACGTTTAAGAAAATCCACAGGAATACAAGGCTACCAAGTTTGGGCTGCAAAAGTCTTGATGACCACTATTTGGACAGAAAATGGAGAATTTTATATCTCTTTGCTGCCATCCTATATACCTGAAGGTATGTCACCCCATGAATTGTTTCTGGTACTCTATGCAGGCACCTAAAGCTGGGTACAAATTTTCAGGTTTTCCTTAACTGTTAGTTTTGTACATTTATCTGGATGACATTACATAACTATTTTGAATGATTGTTGTACCAGGAAACAAACAATACTGGAAGGAACTACCATCTCATTGAGACCTTTAAATCCACAATTAAAATTTGCATCACCCATATAAAACTGTAGATATATGCATATCTAAAAAATCAGTAAGGTGGTAACTGGGGTTCTTATACATTAAGTAGTAACCTCTGTGTTTCTTATCATGTGCGAAAGCAAGCCTGTAAGAAACACACAGGCTTTTAGAGGCAGTGTACATGGGAATAAGTGAACATATTGATTTATCTATTTATCATTCATGCATATTCAACCTACTTTTAAGTTAAACCCTCTAAGACAACTCACTGGAGAAAAGAAAAACAGACAGTACAATGTATCACCAAAACCAAAAGTAAAGAACCATCTCCTCCTGTTTTGAAGAAAGCAAAAAGAATTAAGAACAATGCAGTCATAGAATAATATCCACCTCTAGTCTCCTGCTGACACACTTGGCTTCTATGTATCTGGCACAAATGAGTGAATCATGAGGTTTAGTGGCATTTTTGTGTGACATGAAAAAGTAGAGAAAAGAGGAATCACTCGGACTACTAACAAAACACTGCATACTTAAGACTTATGAAAAGTATGACTTATATCACAATCCCAAATCTTAATTCCTGGCAGGGACAGTTTTCCTTTGTTATTTCAAAGATTCTTCCAATAATAGGAATGAATGAATGAATGAATGAATGAATGAATGAATGAATGAATGAATGATCCTCTGAGGTGAAGCCATAGTCACTTTCACCACAGTGGGATGGTAAGTGGCTTCTAGCTATGACCCTTCTGTCAACTGTCTTGCCAAACTTATAGACATTTATGAATGGGGGAACCAGACATCATCACCCTCTGTTTGCAAAGATCCAATGTTTTCTCATCATTCCCATAATTTTTCCTTCTTCAAAACATCTAATAAGGAAGAACAAGCAGAATAGTTGCACAAATTGATTGGATTGGAATCCTTCAATAGCACCCTAAGGCTCCCCATTGAGATGTGAGCCAGTCCTGAGTTCACAGCTCATTCCTTTAATTATTACGCATGATCATATTACAGCAAAAGTGAGCGGGGTAGGGTGTATATCTGACTCAACCACATTTTGAACCTGATCCTGCTGACTTAGACATATTCAGGAGTTGTCCAATTTGGACTCATTCAAAGCAAAATTAAACTGAATCTGAGACCTCCTGGAGCTTCCTTGGTGGTCTGGAATTTGAAGGGACACAGGAAGGAAGGAAGGAAGGAAGGAAGGAAGGAAGGAAGGAAGGAAGGAAGGAAGGAAGGAAGGAAAGCAGGCAGGCTCTAGGTTAATATATGGTAGTTCACACAAGCCCTGACCACTTTCCCCTTCCCTCCCCTTAATTGGGAAGTTTGCCTTATCAGAGTTTCCAGTTGTGGCTAGGGCCATAAGCCAATTGCCGTATTTTATTATATCTAAAAAAAATTAGTTCAGTCTTTAAATGAATTTATATCCAGCCATTCTCTTTCAGGTACTTTCTCCTATCGTTTCTTAACAGCTACTTGTTCTGAAAGCAAAACAGGGCGTGAGGACATTTGTGGTTCAAATTTGCAGGGATCTATAAACAAATAGGGCAGTGTGATACTTCAGTGTGAAGCTTTAACTCAAAAGCAATTCATTCAAATCATCCTTTCAAATCAAATTGCTGAACTAAAGCACCAAATCAACATGTTAAATTGAATTAGCCTCCTTTGAATCAGTTTGAAGCTTTGGTGGACTTTTGCACATGAGCACATGGACTTTTATTGAATTGAATCACTGAATCCAAATTTGAATTGAATCAAGGATTCCACCCAGATCATGGCTGATTGGCACACCTCTACCATGGAGTGTGATGGAATGTATCTATGAAGGTGCGGGGGAGGGGGGGGGATGATGCGGTGGATTGCAGAAGAGAGCAAGTTTCTCAAGAAGGAGGAGGTGCATTCCAAGAAGGGCAGAGAGACAAGAGACAATGCAGTCCAGAGCAGGAGCATGGGAAGTATAAGAACTTTCAAATAGCCACTCCCTAGAATCTCCCAGGGTATATCCACTAGTTGCAGCAGTACAGATTCAGTCTGGCAAGATTTTGTCTATACAATGTAAGCAATAAAAGAACTGAACTCAGTTGGACTGTTTCCCTGTTGTTCTTGGAATGGGCCTGACATCAATCTTGCCAGACTCATACTCCCAAGAAGGGGAAGGAAAATTTGAGCATCACCATGGATCCTTAAGGAGTGCTGATAACTTCACAGCATCTATCAGCAGCCTTACGGCAGCACCAGCAGCAAGTGGACACACAGGTCAATAATTTACAACCCATGATGATGCAGTTGTTACAACAGCTCAGTCAAAATGCCCAGCAACCCACAGCCAGACCAGCAGCAGGGGTGCAGCCAGTGCTCTTGCGCTCTCATGGAAACCCACCAGAGAAATATGGAAGGGGGCTGATTTTCCTAATCCTGTAGCAGTCTTGCAGGAAGAGCTGCCTGACATGGAGGAGTTCTCAGAAATGGAGAGTAGCACCACACTTGCACTCAGGGAGAAAGTGACCTTGGAGAGGAGGGTGATGTGATAGAACGTATCTGCAAACGGGGGGCGGGGTATGATGTGGTGGATTGCAGAAGACAGCAAGGTCCTCAGGAAGGAGGGAGTGCGTTCCAAGAAGGGCAGAGAGACAAGAGACAACACACTCCAGAGCAGGAGTGTGGGAAGTGTAAGAGGTTTAGAATAGCCACTCCCTAGAATCTCCCATGGAATATCCACTGGTTGCAGTAATACAGATTTAGTCTAGCAAGATTTTGTCTATACAGTGTAAGCAGTAAAAAAGCTGAACTTGCTTGGACTGTTTCCCTGTTGTTCTTGGGTTGGGTCTGACATGGAGGTAGCTGCCATGGTATGCATATGCCTGCCACACACCTTCTGTGATCAGTTGTGTTGAAGCAACTTCACCGTAGGGTTCTTGCCCATAGGGTTCAGCTGTTAGCGGGGTTGAAACAAATGTCAGGAGGAGTATCCATTTTACATAGCACTACAGTTGCCCTCAAAGTTGGTAAGCCTAACATACTGGAAGAAATATTACAGAACACCTGGCCTGATCCTCC